CAGGCAGCCAGGGCCATATAAAGCAGAGGAGGAAATTTCCCCACCCATTTTTCCCTCCCTTCCCCTACCGTACATGGAGAGGCTCTTGAGTCCTAGGAACTAAAAATAGTCCAGTGGATAAGTTTAAATTGAGATATTTTGAAGCACTTCTTGCACTGAAACAAATTCCTACAGTGTGATAGAAAGTTAGGACTAGACAGCTGTCCTGGTAGGTCTTTCTTCTGCTAGCAATTGGGATTTCCACTTGTGAGAAAGTCTGAGCCCATTGTCCCTGGGAGACGATTTAGGATGGGGGTGAAAATACAGTGCACCTTAGAAAGCACAGGTGGCTAAGAAGCAGCTGTGGCCACAGATGGATCCAAGCCTCCGAGGGTGGGGTGAGCAGAGGAGGACACTGCAGGAGCTATGGGGAACCAAAGAACCTCACTAGCAATTATTTGTGACAACTATAGTCTGATTCACCCTGCCACAAGCTCCTGCTTTCCACTAACCTCCTGAAACTCATTCAGATTTTTTTATTTGTATTTTCTGTCTTGTTCTCTCTTCCTTTCCTTCTGCACTGTCCAAGCAGCACAGAAATCACCTCAGGGAGGGACGTGGCTTGGGCCTTTACAGTGATGACGAACCACGGCTCTAAAGATCCCTAGTTCTCCCAGGGATTAACCATCTCTTTAAAGAGAGCAAGTTACTGTTTCAGTGGGAAGGAAACAAATTTGTAATTTTGTTTCTTCAGATTAGGGAAAATACTGGCTTTTCACAAGTATGAACGCTCTCCTGTAGTTCATTTAAAGTACAGCAGAGAGTCCCTGTTTGCTGGCTGTTCTCTTGCCCACAGAGCAAAACACCAGGGTGCATAGTAGCCACTGGGTAGCAATGAAGACTGAAGTCCTATTACTTGTAGGGCAAGTTCCGCACATTTGGATGGCGTGTGGCTCCCCACTCTGCCCCACTAGTCTGCATCAGCAATGCTCTGAGTGGTTTTTGAGCAGGCATGTCCAAGTCATGTGTCATGTGGAGGGCTGGGATGATGTACGTACTCATCCCACAGGTTGGAAAAAATGAGCCAATACCAATGGGCAAATTGTGATAGGGCAGGAACTTTGGAAGGAGACAGACCCAAACCTCACTGCAAGGGCTGTTGCCTCTCTAAGGAGCTCTAGGGCTTTGTGTCTTTGCTGGGGAAGGAGAGGCACAGCTCAGCAGCTGACGACATGCACGGCATCGTCAGGTAGCACCATCAGCTGCTGCCCCCTCTTCCCTGTGCGTATTTTGCTTCACCCCACCCACTGCCAAATCCTCGTCTCGGGCTGTTGGTACTTGCCACCACATTGTGCTCTGCTCCTGGAGTCAAATCCTTGCCTAGTGTAAATAAGTGAGCTCCATTTGCTCCTGTGTTACCGCAGTGCAAAGCAGGTGTTACAGCAGTGTCACCTCTGGCGATTGCCACGTGATTTGTATCCTCTTATCAAAGGCAGGAAAAGCAGCTGTAGTTGTCAGGAGTTGGTGGAATTGATGCAAAAGAATATGTGTACTGGAAAAATGTCAATCAGATAAAAATTAAGATAAAATGAATCAGTAACAATCAGAACATAAAGACTGATCACCCATCATGGTGAAACTAGGAAAGATGGTGGGAAAATATGGGAAGCATTCCCTAGTTTCATTGAGAATCTTGAGAACAGTGTACAGTCAGCCCAGATCAGTTTTGCTAATACATCAGAAACGAAGGAAAATCATACAGAAAAGAGGAGGTAGGGGGGCTGAATCAACTTGGCTGTGATCTGGAAAGCTCAGAGCTCTGGAAAGCATGCAGTGAGGACAAAGGTCTACAAAAGGTCTAAGAGACAGGAAATACAGAGCAGAGCTACAGATCTTAACTTTGAGAAAACCCAAGAGCTGACAGGTGACAGCAGTCTTACTGAGATCCTCGCAGGGCAAAAGAGCTGTGAAGAATATCAGCTGCTACTCTCAGCAGTGTGCAAAAGAATTATTATATATCTCTGTTCTTGTACAGAGATTTCAATTATTCATCTAGAAATCTGATGTTTCTAGATACTCATCTAGAAATACTACACGTGCAATTCTGTTTGCTTTAGGTGCAGGGACAGGTGGGAAAGGGAGAAAGTCTCTGTAGCTTAAAAATGACAGTGAAAAGTTAGAAAGAATGAATACAAAGAACAGGAGAAATACCCCCAAAACTGGAGAAAACATCCGAGCAGGTATGAGAAAGGACTACGTTCTAGAAAGAAAAGGTGAGGAACCATCTGGGTAACAGTCCCAACAAACAAAAAAGGAGTTTTCCACATTCTTATGGTGCAGTGGTGGGAGCTATAATGGAGAAGGCCATGGCAAGGCAAGGAGGGTGTGCTGAGCAGGTGCACTGGGAATATATTTAGATAGATAGTGCTCCAAAAGGCAGACATCTGATTAGGTAGTCAGAAAGGTCCTTAAATGTCTACTGTCTGTATATCGAGCCTCAGGCTCCCGTGACTGGTCATCCTAGTCACCTACTGTAGTTAACTCAGATTTTAAAAACCTGCCTAGCTTCTAAACCATGAGCTTGATTTTGTGTTCCTGTTTAGCAAAACCCAGGAGTCTCCATGTCCCAGAGCAGGCTACTGTGCTGTGGGTATTGATAAGGAAAGGCAGAGAAACAGACCTTTAAACTCTGCTGGCTTTGTGGGAGCCTGGAGCAGCTGTAGGAGCTGAACCAATGCATGCCCAAACGTCCTTGCCAAGGCTACATCTTTCTGGCAAGAGATGCTGTACCATGTGCCTCCCATGCCGATAGCTTCTCTGCAGGCAGCCTCCCCACGGAGCCAGTGCAGCTCAGCAGTCCCACATCCTCCTGTGTATTCCAGGTATAGGTGCTCCTTAGCTCTGTTCACCACATAATGAACACCTTCCATCCCTCTTCCTTCCTTGCTTCCTTCCTTCACAGAGTTACTGGCTGCTGATCATAACTTTTGTTTTAATAGCTGCTGTGCTCCAGCACGATCAGGACATAGAGTTTTGCCTTCACATTTACTGCCAAGATTCCTAACCCAATAAAAGGCCAAGCTGGCCATGTGAGTTGCCATCCATGGCAGAGTAACTCTTACATAAGGACACCCATGGCCAAACATAATCCAGAAGGGGGGTGAGCAGTGGAGGGGGAACAGGAGAATAAAATATTATCTCAGTCTGCAGTGCTTCTGGGAACCCTACCTCTAGCTGGCAATAGAGTTGCATCATCTTCTGCCATGGGATATTACTTTGCCATCAGAAATGCTGTGCATTAAATACATGGCTTTCCTGGGAGCCTTCTGTACTGACACTGTCCATAGAAATAAGTCTTGATGTAAAGCAATTGCTCATCCACTGCTAGGACTATCAGGTGGCAGGGAGCAGCTGAACATGCCTTTCTCAACATTCACCCCATGCTTGTACGTTATTCAAAGGGGAAAAAATAGCTTCATCCTCAGGGAGGCTGAAATTGCTAGTTTCTTTGCTGTCCTAAGGAAAGTGAATTCTAAAGATTAGGAAGAAATAGTACAAGGCACCAGGTCAGTTGTATTGCCTAGCAGGGCCTGACAGAAGGGACCCAACCGAGTCTGTCCTCCCACCACAGGGCAGAGCAGTAAGACAGTGCCCTGCCTGATGGATGCAGCCTAGATTTGAAAGTTACCTCTACAGGATCCCTTAGGCAGAATAGATAAAGGAATGTTTAGCCCAAGGAAAAGAGAAAAGAGAGGCTTAACAATTGCCTTGCAATATTATCTGGTCTGGGGAAAAATGTCTAGCATTTGGAGCAGAGAATCAGAAGTTAGAATCTGTGTGCTTTATTTCTCATTCAGTCTAGTAACTTTCCTGTGTCTCAGTTTCCCATTCTGTGCCCCAGCTAAGTCACTTTTTTAAAACCTGCTTTATTTCTAGGCTCAGAGAAGTGTAAATTAGTCAATCATACTGCACACTGAGGTACTCGTATGAAAACAAGTTTTTGATTACCTTGTTTTTAATATTATTGGATAGATCACAACTGTGAAGTCAGGTAACATCCTATTCTGCCTTCGTGTTTGGGTTTGAAATACTCCATGTGTACAATTAAGGTCACTTCAGGTCCATCACCCATGTACTACACTACATTTTTCAGTACTTTATTCCACCTGGAGAGGTCTTGACTAGTAGGGGTCCCACTACAAGGAACTGTTCCAACAGCTGGTTTACCAGCTCCTGCCTGTCCTTGCTGGCAGCCCTCCACTGCCAATACCTAAGAAGTGATAAATTCTACCAGAGCTCACCAGCTGCTGCCAGACATGGACACCCTTGCTGCAGGAAGTGCCTGCAGAGAAAACATCCACCAAAAGTCGATGTAGACAAGCCCCTCCCTGAGCTCGACAGGTTGAGAGAAATAAATGAGCTACTGACAACACTCTTTTAGGGCTATGCTGACTGAAAATTATCTGTACGCAGTCCTTAACCATGTGTAATACTATACGCCCCTGTTCCCTTGGAGAGCTGAGCTGAACAGGGGGCTCATTGGAAGCCCCTCGGAACGAGCGCCCTGTGCTTGGACACACAGATAGCTAAGGAGCAAACTGAGCTGCTGTGAGATCTCTGAAAGGCAAGGCTTGGGAAATTTAACCCCCAGCTTCTTTCCTCACGCCATCATTTCCCCTGAGTCTTCTTCAGCCCAAAGTGTTGAAGAAACCAATGACCTCCACCCTGTTTCCAGCACATATATGTGCTAGAGCACAGCTGGTTGTGTGGCTGCAGCTTCTACGAGTGAGTCCCAGATCCCAGACCCTTCCTCTCATCTGTTCCTTGGGACATCTTGGGCGAAGTAGACCCCAGTGCCAAAGCTGCAATAGGAAGCCCCAGTCCCTGCAGGTCTGACTTGACTTTGCTTCTTCCCAAGCTAGAGGAGCTAACCCACTTGACATTTGCAGGAATGAGGCTTTTGGAAGGAGATCCAGCATAGGAATAGGGCATGGGTGAGTGGCAGGGTGCAGAGGACTTACTGGCCTGCTTGGCTTTCTCCGCATACGTGGTGGTTAGGTCTTCATCAACTGGGTGCTCCACTGGCCCCACCATGGGGATGAGATGGCGTTCTGCTCGGATAGTCTTGGTGGCATGGGGCAGGAGCATCGCCTCTGGAGAAGGCTCCCGTCCCTCTGTTGATGGTGGCCGCAACTGTCCCTCGCTCTCCGAGAATGGAGTGTCTGTGCGGCTGCCAGGCAGGCAGGCAATCTCCCTCTTGGCCACCCCAACGGAGCTGGCCACCTCGGGTGTCCCCTGCGCAGCAGCCTCCGGCATGCTCTCGTAGCCGCTCTGTTCGGACAGGGACACTTCATCCTGAGGCGCGTCTGCCTTGCTGTTGGTGCTGTCGGGAGGGGACCGTGGGCTTTTCTTGCGAGCCCGGCGGTGCTTCTCCTGGGCCACATTGTCAGCATCACTGTCCGTCTCGCCATAGTAGGCCTCACTGTCCGGCGGGGAGGTGAGGCTCTCCAGGTGCCTCTGTGACCTCCGTGGCTGCGAGGGCTGTGCAGTGGCCGGGGCTCCTGCCGGTTCAGGGCTGAGTGGCTGTGCCGGGGGGCCGAGCGGGGATGGCGGGGAGAGCACTCGCTGCCCTGGAGAAGGGGAGCGCTGGAGCCGTGGGCCAGTCTGGTCCCCCCCAACTATCCTGTGGGGAGAAGGCAAAGCGGTGAGCGAGGTCTGGCTGATGGTGCTGAGCTGGAAGGAAACTCCCACATGTGAGAGAGGAGTAAGGATAGAGCTGGTGTTTCAGATGTCTTTCAGGTGGTACAGACACCTGAAGTGCAGACACCAAGGGCAGGCTCATCTCTGACATCAGCTACATGCACTCATCCTGATTTTCTGCTTCATGACTCTTTGAAAACCAGGTTTTAAACACTTGAAAATCAGAATGCCCTGAGAACATAATCCACGGAGACAGCTTAATCAGCTCCCCAGGCATTTCTCCTGGGGAGGTGAATTCCTGCATAGCAAACATTCCCCAGGACAGTGGGACATACCCCTACAGCCTGCCGCTTGCGAGGGGAGGCCGGGTGGTGCCTCAGCCGCCACACTGCACTCCAGCTGCTCCTGCAGCTGGGACCGCACCATGGAGCTGTGTCAGCTGTGCAGATCCCGGCATCCCCCAAACTGCTTTAGTTCAGAGAGGGCTCCAAACAAAGTCGGTGCTGTTTGTTTGCCCCGACCTCTACTAGGGAGTAAATAGCAAATACTTAGGAGAAAAAGGCCCAAGTGGGTTTTGGGGGTAGGACTCTGCTATCCTGTGGTAGGAGTCCACGCTGATGTGTGTGGTCTGCTGGCTGTGGGACTGCTTCGCGAGCTAGCTACCAGTGCCTGGGTTTTGACGACCATACTGCAGTCATGCCAGCAGCCCAATCCATGGTGGCATTTGCCTTTGGCTTAGACATAGCAACTTCTGGCCTGTAAGTCAGCTGGAAGGATGTGTAGAGTAGGGGCAGGGCAGACTGGGGCAGTGAGCCCGATTGCTGACTGCCCGAGGGAGGGAGAACTGGCTATGCTGATCGGAAAAGAGCCAGCTCTGCCCTCCCTCTCCTCAAGAGTGAGTCTGGATTTCAACAGCAGTTTGACTCCAGACCACACAGAATGGGGTTGAGAACTTCTTCCTTCCCTTGCCAGAGTCACCAGGTCTTGTTAGAGTTAAAAAGGAGCCCTAAGTATTTGCCTTCTGAGCATGCATACCAGGAAGCCAGGCAGAGAGCATTGCCCCTTGTAAAGCTGTGGAATTCATGAGTTGGATCCCAGTTCTGAACTGTGAAAAATTTATACTCATGTAAAATGCAAACCTTTGTGGAAGGTAAGGGTGGGGCAATTTCTCTGACAGTTTATTTTTTAATAATATTTGCTATAATGAACTCTCACTGGGGAGCAAACTCAAAGCTCCCCAAGCAAAACAGAACAGTCCTTCCTCTTCTTTAAATACTCAACCAGATAACTAAAAAGCATTACTGCTTGTAAGCCAGTTTCTCTTGTTCTGCACTGTCAGGTCACAATCTCTCTCTCTCTCTCCCTCCCTCCTTCTCTCTCTCTCTTCACACACATCCCACACTGACAGACATGCACATACGACCTTGCATACTCCAGAGTCATCCAGCTACCTCTCCTTTCTGAACGGGACTGATTGGTGTTCTCTCTGGGAACATAAATATGAAGTGGGAATAGAGACGTGATCAGAAAGCAATATTTGATGAGTTCTCCGCTACCCCAAGATGAAGCCAACTGGTTACGTTATTTCCAAACCAGCCGATGTTGGCTCCCAGAGGGCTGTGAGAAGCCTGCTTTTGTCACTTTGCTAATTCAAAGTGTGCTGATTTTGGCCCATTGGAATTTGCCCAGGCACCTGTTGGCTGCAGATAGGCTCCGATGGGGTGAGATAAGGCCTTGGCAAGGGACCAGGAGCTATTCTGGACACCTTGTGGAGGGCTCACTCATCCCACTTAATCACAGCTAGGGTATGGGGTGAGCACATCAGAAGGCACCGGCACTTTCACTGAAGCCAAGGGGAAGGTCCTACATGCTCAGGCTTTCCTTCTCAGAGCACTGCCCACCTCTCCCCCCACTTTACAGATGCCAGCAACCAGCATGGCTCTCCCTCCCCACTGCTCACAGTGCTCTGTCTTTTCAGGGCTGTAAAAATTACATCTCCCAGCCCCCTTCACCAGGGCCTTGTTTCCTGAGGGTGACTTCTGTTTTGGAAGTACTGTGGACTAGCTGGGACCTCACACAGCTTTGCTGCCTTCGTCTTGATATGATTCATTTACAGCGTGGGCCTCATCCAGCATGCACTGAGGCACTGGCTTAGCTTTAGCACACGTAGAACCAGAAACGTTACTGGGACCATTTTTGTGCTTAAATTTGAGCCTGGTCTCCAGTATTCTGCTGGACTAGAGACTTTGCCAGAGATATTTTTCCCTGCAAAAAGAGACTCAGCTACACACCTCTGTGGAAGTCAGTTCACACCCTATCGGACTGCAATGGCCTGCTGTAGTAAATACTTGGGTAATCTTGTCTTGGCTCAATTATCCAATGTGTAGTCAAATCCATTTCTACAGAACAGTTATTTACCCAGAATGAACTGGAGTCTCTGTTAATTGCTGAGATTAACTGCCCTACGGCATCTGCTTGCTTGGAGCCTAAATTGCTCATTCTCATAGCCCTCACACTGCAAACATTTCCCTCCAGCCTGAGGGGCAGAGGCAGGGAGGTCTGGGGTCAGTTCAGCCCCAGGGCCAGGCACTCTGGAGAGTGGCAGAGAGACAGTGCAAAACTTTCGGATAGCCACACGTTAGCCATGGAGAAGTCCTCCTAGTACACCTTGCAGTATGGAGAAACCAAAGGCTTCCTGCCTGCCTTCTTTCTGCTAGTTGTGGATAGCTGCTGTGCTGGATGAAGCTGCCCTGCTGCCTGCACTGTCACAGCCCCGGCACTTGGGAGCAGGTTACCTTTTCACACGGATGTTGAGCATGCCATTGGAGGAGTCGATGATCTGCATGGCAGTAGCATGGGAGAGGCCAGCACATGACTTCCCGTTGATAGATACTAGCACATCATTTTCCCATAGGCCTCCGCGGCATGCTTTGCTTCTCTTTCGGATCTGGAAAAGCAGAAGAGAGAGGACAGGGATGAAGGGAAGAACGGCAGCTATTTAGTTCAGTTGCTTGTCTCCTGCTAGCCCTTCTATTGCTCCGTCCCTGACAGAATAAAATAAGGCCTAAGACTACTGTGCTGCCAGGGGGGAGGACCAGTCCTCTTGGGTGAGCCCTGGCTGTGTCTTTCAGTCTCTGTATTCCTGTTAATTCCAAGAGCCACTCTGCTGAGCATAGGCCTGACCTGATGACCAACCCCATTCAAGTCCTTCAGTGCAGATGAAAGACTCAAGAGCACCTACATGCTCTTGTCCTCTCGTTCCCTATCTCCTAAAGCTGCTGAGGGAGTCTGTGTTTCAGAGAGGGAACAGGAACTCTTTCCAGACTATCCCTGTACATGGCTGTATATCCTTCCAGACTATCCCTGTACATGGCTGTGTACCCTTCTGTACACCCATGCTGTGCTTCCTTGCTATGATCCCTTGATCCCTTACACTCACACTGAGCCCCTGCAGGTACCGTCCTTGGGCAAGCTGACATTGGGAAGAGATGGTGGCTGCGAGGCACTTCCTGCTGTCAAGCATTCCTGCTCTATTGGCTTTGGCCAATATATTTCTGGACATCTGCATCAGGCCATATGGTGTCCTGTTACACCAGTGTAAACTTCGAGTAAATCTTTAGCCTTAACAGGAGCTGTGCAGCATATGCACTGCTGTATCTGAGAATGGAGTCTGGGTCTCTAGTTCCAGGCTAGTTCCTAGATCTGGTCTCTCATGGTCATCTTACACCAAGTTCTTCTTCTCCCTTTTGTTCCATCATCCATCAGTTAAACCTCTTACTGAAACCCCCAACTCAGCCTAGCCTTTCTGTTAGGGCAAGCAAGCAAACCAAATGCCCACTCAGCCCAAAACCACAGACCTCTCCCATATAGGCAAGCAATGGGATAGTCTTGTAGGACAGCTTGGCACCCATAATGCACTCATTTTGCACATAATAGCCAGGCAAAAACACTGGGTCAGGGCAAATCGGGCCCAAGGTAGTAATACGCTGGATTTGTAGATGCTTCTAGAATATTTCTTCAGATCTTGCAGTTAGGTGAGAGACAAATCAGTGCAAAGCTGTTTAACAGAGGGTGCAGTGAATGAACTGTGGCAGATCCCTGCAGAGAGCTAATACACAGCAGGGCAACTTCTCCCGCATCTTATAGCCTTGCTGCTCGAGCAACCAGACTCAGCTATAAAATCGCACAAGCTACTTTGCTCACACTCCCATGGCGGCCCCGGGAAAGAGAAATGGATGTGAGAGGGCTGCTGCCCTGTCATTGTCCTTGCAGGGGCAGGAGGGGAGCAGGGAAGGAGAGAGCTGGAGCCCTGAGGAGGTCCAGTGGTACGGCTGGCTGGTCTCAGGGCCCAGGCCTTCTGCACCCATGGGGTGTGTACAAGCCGAGGGCTCAGCCCTGATGGCTTGTGTTGAGCAGGCAAGAGCAACACTCCTCCCAGGTCAGCCTGTCAGCAGGACTGAGAGGTGTTGGGGAAGAAGATGGAAAGAGGAGGGCTATGCTCCGAGTTGTTTGTGTGTTCACTGGCACTTTATCACTCTGTAGCCTCTCCAGCTTGACCCCAAGTTTTGCCTGCATGCTTAAAATAGGGACTGGCTCATCCCAGCTGCCACATCCATCAGCCTCTGTCATCTTAGTCCTTTATCTCCCTCCTTGTTAATAAAAGCCCAAAATGAGAACATGTGGGTCCGTAATGAACTACTGCTCAAGAACCACTTCTCTGCTGTTACAGTATAAATGCTGCTTCTTGATACTCCCTCAAGGTGCAGCTGTTAACTGAGAAGAGATAGCAGATAGATACATTTTCCCGTGATGCCTACCGACACAGCAGCTAATGCAGAGAGTTAGGAAGTTGAAGAGAGGTTAGAAGGAGGGTCGTCTCCTCGTATTCCCCAGAAGGCCAACTGCTGCTCCACAGCCAAGTGCTTGGTGCTCAGCACTGCATGGCAACACACTTGCTGAGTATCTCTCCCAACTATGGAGCGAGGGGACTTGGGGTTAAAGGCTGTCAGCAGGTGCTCAGAGCATTCTTTGCATCCCATCGTACTCCTCCATGCTGACTGAAACCAACTGGATGTGGGCTGGTGACCACCCAGAGCAGAGCCAGTACGCTTCCTGAAATCCTCTGGTCCCACAGTACTGCGGGACTTTGCAGGCAAGTGTTTGGGATTCCCAGGCAGGGAGGGTCAGGCTGCACTCACAACGCTGCCTGCTGCTGCTTCAGGCACCTTTAGATCAGAGTAGGCTAGTGGGATGCAAGCTGCCCCATGCAGGCTGAGCAATGTGAGCAGGCAATGCCTTTCTTTTGTGGTCAGTAAAGATGCTGGCTCTGGCTTGGTGTGTGCTCAGATTTTACCAGGGTGGCAGAAGGCCCACACACTAAAGCAACTGTAGTTACTTCAGGGCTTTTGCAGGAGCCTGCAAACTAGCTCTGCAGTCCAGGAGGGGACTTCTTCCGGTCTCCATTCCTCCTTGGGAAAACAGGACCAGAAAGAGACCTACAGAGTCTGAAAATAGCACATAAATGTTCCTGGCTGTCAGTCTCCCACAGGTTTATAAATCCTCCCTGGAAGTTTATGAATCTGCTTCCCAGGGGCAGAGGGAAACAAACTATTCACAGCTTCATTTTAATGACAAACCCCTACCCCACTGCATTTGCCAAGGCGGAAAGCAAAGGGGTTAAAGGCAGAAAAGGATTGTGCAGGGGGGGAAGGAAGAAAGCATGTCATACAGAAAGGACAGGACTTGATCCACAACCATATCAGCAGGGTGCAGTGTGCCCGAGGCTGGAGAGCCTCTGGACAGAGACCAGCACAAGCCTGCCAGTTTTTATATGACTGCCAGCACGGTGCTGTGCAGACCTTTAATGACAACCCATAGCCTGCACGTCTCACTCACAGGGAGGGCAGCACTGAGCCTTTGAGGCCCCAGGCCAGGGCGGCTGCCCAGTCCAGAGGCCAGGCTCGCTGCCCACTCTGAAGGTCAGGCTGCCCTCAGGCTCAGCCACTTCCTCCCCATGTCCAAAAGATGCCCTCTCCTGGGCACCCAGCGAGCCACATGAAGCGTCACTAACAGGGAGCTTCTGCTTAGGCTGCAGACAGGTTGGAAGGTGTCACCCAGCAGCTGTTCCGAACAGATGGGAAAGGATGGGAAAAGCAGCATTTCAAAGAGATATCTTCTCTGCTTCCTGTAGCAGATCCTGGAGAGCTTTCTTGTGCGAGTGAGAGGCAGCACTGAGGGACTCTGACAAGTGGTCAGGGGTAGCCCCAGACCTGGCCCTGTCTGCACTGTCTGACCTCCTAGCACATAGTGCGAGGACTGACCTCTCCTTTTTGGGGGGGAACCCTACAAATTCTCTGAGCCTCTTGTAGCTAACTGCCTGTTACACTTACCACTCTGTGCCTCACTGGACATGCTCGCCCATGGCACACCTTGGCTCACATGGGAGGAATGCCCTCTTAGGTTTCAGCCGGGTTTATGGAATCCCAGTTTCAGGGCCTTACTGATTTATGCCACTGGAAATACAAACCAGTGGGGAAAACCCGAACTTGTCCATCTCACTGCCCTCTCAGCAAGACTTCTGTTGTGACAAAAGAGCTCTTGTCAGAAGGGTTTGGGTGTCTGCAGCACCTAGATACATGCGCATACGTGTGCGTGTTTTCTTTCATTGCTTTGCCCTCTTCCTCTCATTGATCATATTGAATCGGACAGGAGGGAAAGGACAGAAGCAGCTGAGGGGAAAAAAGGAAAAGGGTGAAGGCAATAAATGAGCAGGAAAGGTAGAAGAAAAGGTGTTGAAGGGAGAGCCAGTGCTAGGAGAGGCCAGGAAAGCCAGGGTTAGGATCAGGCTTTAACACAAGTTTCCTTCTACAGCCCTGGGGAGACAAAAGGACATGCTGATTATTGGACGTGTCTCAGGGGAATTCGGCCTAGCTTTCGGGAACAGAATGCAAGAGAGGAGAGGGTCAGATGCAACTTGGCAGCATCTGTCCTTCAGTAGGGACTATATTTAGATAGTGGTATGTTGGGGGTGAACACTCGCTGGGATGCTAAGAATAGAGTAATCCTGATAGTAACTCAGTGGCTTCACATCTTGCCTGAGTACAGCCCAGGGAACCTGTCTTGAAACATTGCAACCACTCTCCATGCTGGTCAGCACTGCTTCTTCTTAAGGAAATATGCTGTGGTTTGCAGTGCCTTTCAGGAATAAGCTGTAATAGGTTCATGCCATCTTCCCCCTTGCCTCCCCAAGGCACCTCCCACATCCTCTCATCGGTAGAGCTCAATCTATAAGGTAGGAAAACAAATTACATTACCAGTCTTCCCCTAATCTCCTAAAATCTTTCCAGCAGCAACCTAGCAAACTCAGGCCAAGTCAGAGTTGTATATTGAATACAATTCATCTTCCCATCCAACGCCCCTTCCACTCTCTGATTGCAGCTCTCATCACACAGCTGCCCCCCTTCCCTCAGCAGCTACAATGCCATGGAGTCCAATACCCCATGGCAACCTAGCAGTGTTGAAATTTCATTCCCAGCCTTTTGTGAAATGTAGTCCTGTAACAGGGTTCCCATGGAGAGGTAAGAACTGCCTTGTTGTAGTATAAAGCAGTATAAAGCATTACCAAAAGAGAATGAATCAGGCAGGACCCAATCAGCAGTAGCTGCTAGATGCAAGAGCAGAAACAAACACCCTCCATCTCTTCTTCTTTCTGAACATCTGTGTTGACATCATTTTGGTTACTGGAACAGTTTGGTTTTCCTCCAAGGCCAGGGCCTAATCTTTACTTGTGCAAGGAAGGATACCCCTGTGGCTAAAGCACTAGAGTAGGATTCAGGAGACCTGGATGATTTTTTGTGTGACCTTGGAGAAGACACTCGTACTGTAAGCCATAAGTGACAGGAGCCTGAAAATCAGGAAGTTTTTCAACAGTCTTTTGCTCTGGCTTTT